ACAAAAGAGTTCACCACCAAAAGAAGTGTTGGAGCAGGAAAACAACACTGAAGTAGAAACTGATGATAAGTCATTCTCTTTGGACTCTCAAGATCACTGTAAGGAGCTTCTAATGGTTAATTCCGTGCTTAATTTATTTATTATTGTTTCTTCTGGTGATGTGAAACATTTTGGTCTAGAAAATGTGAAAGAATTTTGTGTTTCAAATTCTATTTTTGATAACATGATTCATTCTTTTAAGAAACTTGAGCCAGACAAACTCTTTGATCAAAGAAAATTTCAATGTGTTGATTACAACTATTCTGGCCTTGTTTGAGTTTTGATAAGTTTTTGGAACATAAACAAAGCTTTGATCATCCTGAAAAGTCACTAGAGCTTGTTCTGAAACATCTTGATCTCTGTTTTAGAAAACCTTGTGATTCTTTTGTTAGATTTAAAGATGATGGCTTGGTTATGAATTTTTCTAGGCATGAACATGTATCTTATGGTTTGTTTTCCTTCACACGTGCCTGGAAAGAACCTGTCGTTAAAAATGAACCAAAAACACTTGGAGCTAAAATCAAGTTTGATTTTTCTAAAATAAAACTTGCTGACTCTTGTTCAGGAACTTATAAATCTTGGTTTGTTTTGAGATCATGCCTGCAGAATGATGTTGTGTTGAGCTTTGGTGATATAATAGTGTATAACATATTCTTTGAAAGTCTTGCTAGACATGCGAGCAATGTGCTAACTGATTCTGAATGTGATCTTGAACTAAACCTTTTGTGTTCTGAATCTGATCAAGTTATGCAAGTTTTGGAAATGTTCTATGGTATTTCATGCCTTGAAAACATTCTGATTTACAACACTTTATTTGATAAACGTGTGGAGCCTTTAATAAGTAATTCTCATTTTAAAGTTGATCTTTTGTGTTCGAAATCTGAGAAACTTGTGCCTGTTTTGAAATTGTTCTTTAGGAACTATGCTATCATGTGCCTTAACACCATTCTGGTATACAACACTTACTTTGATAGGCATCATGATGATCTGAACAATAACATGTCTTGCACTGGTAATTCTGGATATCTAGTCTTTGTTTTAAGTGTCCAGGAACAACAGGGTTCAGTCTCAAAGAAGTGTAAGGGACAAGAGCAGAGACCATGCTCATCAGCCTGAGGTTTGGAGCGTGAAGTACTTGAGGAAAATGGCTTCAAAACTTCAAGGAAGCTTCTGTCCAAAACTTTACTTTGATATTGTTTTCTTGATTATTTGTTTCGCTTCTCACTTGTTTCCTTTTGATGTAGGAGATACATATTTGACGACAAATCCTTTCAAAGGAGGAGGGGATGATGCAACCATGGATGAGCCAGATGACTATGAGACAAAGGATAAACCGGGATGGCTGAATGGAAAGCTTGAAGATGAACAAGAGGTTGGAATGGAGCATAATGAACTTATATTGGCTATGAAGAACAAGACAAACAAGCTGGAAAAGTTATGGATCAGACTCATGGATGACTTAGGCTTTTTCTCAACCTAAACCAAGATCAATATCCAAGTTAAGGATTCATTTTCTCTTCCTGAATGGACAGCCACGAAAATCAAGTCAAGAAATCAGCCAAAATAATTAGTATTTAGTTCTAAACTTGTGAATCTTTTGTTTATCTTATGAACATCGATTGCTATGGAGTTCATTCTCCATTAACTTTGTCTTTGATCGGAAAACAGAGTTCATTCTCTTGATCATTGATTTATCTACACAAGTGTTGATCAATCCACAGATCCTCACTGAAGTTCATCAACCATTTCTACCTTCTATCCATCAAAACCATCATCATATATCCTTCAAACCACCAGATCATCTTTCAAAGGATCATGGACAAAAGAATCTCTTCACTAGGAGTTCATCAAGTACTTGCCTTATGCTGAGATCGAGATGTAGCAACAAAGAGATATGAAATACATGATTTTAGTATAAGTGGGAGATTATTGAAAATGTCAATAAATCATTTGTACTTACTCTTGTTAAAATCATAGAGAGTCGAGGTACAACAATCATATAATATTAGGTGGTTATTACGTTTTGTTAGAAACCGCTTATAATCTTTAGATTGAAATTTTATTTATAATATTATATGATCCTATAGAGTCACACACCTAAATAAACTGAATAATAAATATGTTAAAAAATATTATGTATATATATATATGATATGTTAATGTATAAATATATATATATTTATTTGGACATGAATTATCTTAATGCGATTAAGATTAGAATTATAGTGGACCAAGTTGAGATTATTATAATGATCTGGTCCTTTATCAAACCTAAATGAATTAGGTCATGTGTCTTTTGTTTTATATATATAGATTTTTTTTTTACAGTAGGAGACACTTTATGTCTTCTTAATTTCATGGAAAGCCACATTCCACTTGAGAGACACTTTTTTAGTGTTGTTTGTCTATCTTACCCTTTCCCAACTCAAACATCAATTTTTCTCGTTCATCTCTTCTTCAACATCTCTGATTCCATGCATCGTCTTGTGTTTCTTTTCTTAAAGTTCAAAACTTTTATCTCTCTGAACTCTTTGGATCTTTCACATTTCTAATAAATTTTTTTTTTGGAATTTATGTAAATCTTGGGTCCTTGACTCCCGTCGTATTTCCAAACACAAGACCACAACCAACCCACGATGTGAGTCCGCTGAGTCTCTCCGCTCCGCCACAGCCAAGCTCCGGCCGTGTCGTCTGTCAGTCGTGCTCCAACTCCTCTCCAATGCATCTTTAGCTCCTCCAGATCTCTCGTCATGTCCTTCAACTTTTCGTAGATGTGCTTATCGTCGCCGTCACCATCGCCGTGCTCATCGTCGCCGTCAAGCTCACCGTCACGGAACAAAGTGGAGAAGACCATCACTGTCGCCGTGCTCATCGTCGCCGTCAAGCTCACCGTCAGAAGTGGAGAAGAACGACAATGGAGAACTTTAGTATATTTGCAGATTAGGTCCTTAGTTTTTTCTAGCAATTTTGGTTTTACCCCAAACTCTCAAATGATGCAGAGATCCCCATAATTCAACCCCAGAACTTTTGAAAGTGCAATATAGACCCAGTGAATATTTTTGCCATCTTGATCATTGCATTCTCATGGTCTTTGGTTTCTGCCCCATAAGTTTCGGCTTTGCAAATTTATCCTTTCAAATTGACCTCAAACTTTCAATCATGCACTTCAAATCCTGTTAAATGTAATGCAGTATAAAAACTTCAAATGCAACCTAGAATGATGATAATAAACTAAAATATGAATCTAAAACTTATCATAATCGAGAAATGTCAATTGTCTCGAAATCAAGTTAATATATATAAATGTATATGTTTCATAGCCGTCCATAAAATATTTTCTATAATTCAAATGTCCACAATTTTTTTTTTATATAATTTGTTGTCTATAAGTCGTTATCCACAATTGATTTGTATGTAATACATATTTCCATAATTTTTCCCTAAACAACTCATTTGTTCATAACTCTTCCATCTACACTTCTGCAAAACTTGAAGAGGTTATTCATGAACAAATTTAGAGGAGCTTGGACATATGATGGATTCGATGTGGATGGTAAAACGTGTATATATTACAATACATATCCGAAAGCTGCACATGTTATTATCATATAATGTTTCACTTGTCCACGCACCACCTGTCCACGTATCCCTCATCCACGCATCATGCGTCCACACATCACCATCCATGCATTACTCATTTACCCGTCCATGTATCATCTGTCCACGCATCACCCATCCACACGTTATCCATCCACGCATCACCCATAAGGGTAAAATTGTCCACAATTAATCTCTGGCCCACAATAAAGTGTCTTACATGTAAAAAGTGGCTTTGAGTGTAAAGTAAAGTGAAAAAGTGACTTTTAGTGTAATCAACTCATATATATATACATTGTTTAATGAAGGGAAGACACATATATTCTTTGCCGCACAACGTTTATGTGAGACAAGAGAACGTGTGGTGTGCAGTGGGGGATCCAAAAGAAAGTTTAAGGTGTATCATAATGTTTTGTGTAAGTCCATATTATAATAAACTCCCCCAAATTACAAGAAAAACTTTTTTTATTAAAATAAAACAAGGTGCAAGATGGGACTTCCAACCCAGGTTAGGGTGTCAAGGGGAACACATCTTAATCATTCGAGGTATTTCAGAATTGAAAGTCTGCATTACAAATCTTTCTTTTATATTTAAGGGATGTCATCTAACCTTCATTTCCCCTATATGAATCTGTTTCTGGTGGTGTGATGTGATAAAGAAAAAAAAAATTCTTCTTAGAAAAGTAACTAAAGAGATCCAACATAACCAAAATGTTCGTCAAACTTCGAGATACGAACTCAATGATATAACATCCCATTTTAATTCAATTTGTGTAAGTATAGATACTGATAGAAGCACGATAGACATCATGTTACAAATCTTAATTTAGTTTATTCATATTTTCACTGCAAAACAATCGAATATATTCATAATCCTAAAATTTATATTTATTTTATTATTTGCATGAGTTCTAAAAAACTAAATTGATAAATAGATTTATAAATAGTTATAAACCTATATCAATTCTTACAATTGAGTCACATTTGACTCATCGTCATAACCAATACACATTTTAAAACAAATTAGACTTGAACTTTTTTTATTTAAGCGTACTTTTAATTAATAGTATTGGTACTAATTTTTTTTAGTTACAAAAATTAGTTTCTCTAATTTTTTTAAAAAATATCTATTTGTTCACAATCTTGATTTTATAAAGTGACCAAAAAATATTCTAAAAGTTACAAACATGAACACGTAAGCCGTTTCCCCTATCCGGTGTATACACCACGCGCTGGTGCTGAGAATGGGTTTGGATTTAGTCGAAGATTTGCCTCCGTTCATATGCGATGCTTCGCTCATAAATACCCACTGTCACCCACTCTCCTCTATTGTGTTATCGAAGGATTCTCTCTTGAAGAGAAAAATGGCGAACGGAGCTGGCAGAGTAGATCTAGACGGCAGGGCGATAAAGCCGATCACGATATGCATGATCGGAGCCGGAGGTTTCATCGGATCGCATCTCTGTGAAAAGCTCTTGACGGAGACTCCACACAAGGTGCTCGCGCTCGACGTTTACAACGATAAGATCAAGCACTTGCTGGAGCCGGATACTGTTGAATGGAAAGATCGGATCCAGTTTCATCGCATCAACATCAAGCATGATTCCAGGCTTGAAGGACTCGTCAAGATGGCCGATCTGGTATGGATTCGAGTCGAATGCATAGCGATTTCGCGTTATCTGTGTGAGAAATTTGAAATAACGATTTCATGGTTGATGAGTTAGATCTGATCCGTCAATTTAGATATTTTGATACTGTAACGATGAGTGATTCTGATGTGTGTTTGCTGCGCAGACTATAAATCTTGCAGCGATCTGTACTCCAGCTGATTACAATACGCGTCCTCTTGATACTATCTACAGCAACTTCATTGACGCACTCCCTGTTGTATGCATTTCATTACCGTTTTTTTTGGTGTAGCTGTTCAAAGACTAGGTAGCTCATCATTGCTTGAAATGGATTGATCAATGTGTTTGGCTGTGTACTTGTGTAGGTTAAGTACTGCTCTGAGAACAACAAGCGTCTCATTCACTTTTCTACCTGTGAAGTATATGGCAAAACCATTGGAAGCTATCTTCCTAAAGATCATCCTCTGCGCCAGGTCATACCTCTTTCAACATTTTTATTGTCTTTTTACTTCTCATCTCTAGATCAATGAAATGACGTAATCTACATATTATTCAGTGGATCTTGTAACTTTTATTTGTGATTTCTAAGAGTTTAGCTAACTAGTCTATCACTCACCATGTAAGCCTTTTTAATCAACTTTCGTTTAAGGAAATCTCGGGGAACTATGGAGAAAAATATCTTTACATTCAGTTGCCTACGTTTGGCCTCACTTTTTTTTTACAAAAGTTGTTTGTTTGTGCTTTTGTACAGGATCCTTCTTTTTATGTTCTTAAGGAAGATGTTTCCCCTTGCATTTTTGGTTCCATTGAGAAGCAGAGGTGGTCATATGCCTGTGCTAAGCAACTGATTGAGAGACTTGTATACGGTAAGCACTTTTATTTAAGATGACATGTGAATATACTAATGTGGAGGAAGGAAAAGGTTTACACTTCAGTTTTTTTTCGTTCTTGTGACAGCTGAGGGTGCTGAGAATGGACTGGAGTTCACCATTGTAAGACCCTTTAACTGGATTGGACCTAGGATGGATTTCATTCCCGGCATTGATGGTCCTAGCGAAGGTGTCCCTCGTGTCCTGGCCTGCTTTAGTAATGTATGTACAAATCCGAATCTATATCTAATTGTATTCTGTATGAAAGCTTTTGGGCTGATGGCATTGCTATCTTTCAGAATCTTCTGCGCCGTGAGCCTCTGAAGCTTGTGGATGGTGGAGAGTCACAGAGAACTTTTATCTACATCAAAGATGCTATTGAAGCTGTTCTTTTGATGATTGTGAGTTCTATTGCTTAAATCATAATTGATGCTTCTTTTTTTTACAAACTAAAACATGCAGTGATATTGGATGTGTGGTTCAGGAAAACCCCGAGAGAGCCAATGGCCATATCTTCAATGTAGGCAACCCGAATAATGAAGTTACAGTACGACAACTTGCTGAAATGATGACCAAGGTGAGTGAGGAAGATTGGTTTCAAAACCAACAATTAAGAGTTGAATTCTTCTCTCTATTGTTCTCTAATCCTAAAACGAAACATGTTTCAGGTATACGCAAAAGTGAGTGGAGAGGGAGCTATTGAGAGCCCGACGGTTGATGTGAGCTCAAAAGAATTTTATGGGGAAGGTTATGATGACAGTGACAAGAGAATCCCAGACATGACAATCATTAACCGCCAACTTGGTATTTTCCTTAATATTTATTGAACATGATTTATACGTTTAAACATTATAATGGCTATAATCTGATATATGTTGTCTACTGTGAAAATAGGTTGGAACCCGAAGACATCTCTGTGGGACTTGCTGGAATCGACCTTAACCTATCAGCACATGACTTATGCAGAAGCTGTGAAGAAATCAACATCCAAACCAGTGGCTTCCTAAACCACAAACAAATTCGTTAAAATACACTATACACATCATTTTGGCATTTTGAGCTCCATCGATTCTTTCGTTTTGTCTACCCCAGAAAACCTTTCTTTCCAACTTCTTTAATTCTTCCCCTTTTATGAAACAGTATAAATGTTGTCCTCTCCTTTTTGCCTGTTTCTTAGGCTATATACGTTGCATCTGTCAGAAAACCAAATGTTAATCGTTTGTAGCGAATGATACTACACAGTAATGTTTGGTATTAAATGCTTCTTTTTCATTTTAAGGAGATGGTATACACACTTCTGTCCTACTGCGTTATAGCTCAAGATGTTTGGTATTAAATTATGAGAATGTTGTCATTTTGTCGTAGTTCTGAAAGTGGAAATTTAGTATTCGTAATTTTGAGTAGATGTGTTCTATGTATTTTAATCTGCATGAGTAAAACACCGGTATTGTAAATTCTACAAAGAGATGTAGTCCAACGGCTAGGATAATTGCTTTCGAAGCAATTTACCTGGACAAGTCTTAGATTGCTAGAATTAAGAATCTTAGATTGCTAGAATTAGGAATCTCGCCGATGGCTCACGCAGCTAAGGCTTACTCTTTTTCTACCGTTCTTACGCGAATTCAGAATAAGAATCCTTCTTGCTCTCAATCTTGTTTTTATTATCTTTTACTTCTTCTCGTCGTTTACTTGATTGCTTGTCTGCGGTTCTGCAGATAGCCGGGTCCTCTTTGAAATTAGGTTTTTCCCTAAGTTCCTAAATTTACGTAAAATCGACAGGGGTGAATTTCGGTTCCTACAATCCTAACTAGTCTTTTTTAGGTCAGTGGACGAGTGAAGACTTAAGCATCCACTTGATCCCATCCACTGAACGTGTACTCTCAGTACTTGGTTGAGAAGTTAAGCTAGCAGTCCAGTTGATATCACTCAAATTACCCTAAGGAGTGAATAACTCTCTCAATAAGAAGATCAGTTGTAGTACTTAGGGATCGAATCCACAAGGAACTAAGGAACACAAAAGATATAATCCTTAGTGATTATGCTAGGTTGATTAAGTTTAAAAGTAAATTGCAGTTGTGAGCAATGGTGAGTTGCTCAAGAGAATTGGTTTAGGTTTTAAACAATAAAAGAAAGTAGTTAGATTCAAGGTTGTTATTCAGATAATCAGGATTATAATGCTACAGATGTCTTTATAAGTTTCTTGCAAGATATTAAAGAACTTCAAGTCTTAGATAAATCTATTAGCAATCGCTATCAAGACTCGTCTATTGATCTGACTGTCGGCAATATCGACCGATGGTTTGACAGAGATATCGGACGATATAGGTTGCCATCGATCGATTACTCTATAGGAGTATCGATCGATATAGCTTCAGATCGAATTGAATATGTGTTCACCAAGATCATAGACCGGCTCTCGCTCATCCCTAGAGAACATCAGCTTATACTAGATGATTTCAAGATGATGATTAACAAGTTAAATCATTTCATGATCATACTCTAGTTAGCTACTTCTAGAGTAAGCATTAGGGTTCACCAGGATAATGAATATCACAACTCAACAATCCATAGTTGGGGCTAATCCCTCATAACTATTTGAACCCTAAATCTAACAAGTGAATCTACTCAGACATGGCTAAGTGATTCATAGCATCAAGGTAATAATAGAAATTCATAAGATTAGAAGATTGAACACTTGGTTCTTTTGAACAACAAATCTCTTTGTGTGTTCTTCTAAATCTAGAACTCTATAACCTTTTATGAAAATCAGAATAAGATGAAAAGAATACTTTTATAAAATCAAAGAACTATTAGTATTAAGAAGCATAAAAAGCCTCTATACATAAAAAGCATACTCAAAAGCACACATTGCCAAAACACATAAGCATAACTATAAATATGAGTTCAATTAGATTAAAAACTCGTCAGGGTCTATCTTGTAATATGGAGAGAACTTGGGCTTCAAGTCGGCTGAGTCAAACTTGTTCTTCACGCTCAATATCGATCGATGGTACAAGGCGTACATCGATCGATGGTACAAGGCGTACATCGATCGATGGCGTATCTCGATCTGTCATCTTCTACGGAAGCGTCGTCGATCTATCACACAGGATGTGTATCGATCGATATGTATCTCTAGATATCGACCTTGTTGTCTGATCTTCATAGTCATCTCGGGAAAACTCTTCTTTAAGCTCCATAAGGGCACCTAAATCATCACTTTACTCCAAAATGCTCCTGAACCTGAAAAACATACATAATAGACTCCAAAACACACACACACACACACACATATATATATTGTAAAATCATTTCAATACCATGGTTAAAAGTGGGTCAAAACCATGGTTGATAAACTTTCCCAGACTTAACCTTTTGCTTGTTCTTAAGCAAACACAATAGTTAGTCTTTGGAAGAAGTTTTAAAAAGAAAACAGCAGGGACTCAATCAAATCTATAACTTAAGATCATAACCTCTACTTTGTTGCAAGCCACTTCTCATATCTATTAACTACAGAAGTACATTATACCATATCCTAGCTTAGCAACCAAATTCATCTAGCCAATCAACTTAGCAATCCTGTTTGTCTATCCCCTCTACTGATTTCATTTATGCATAAAATAAAGTGTAGGCTTTACCTTGGGAGTATCGATCAAGGAACACTTGGATTCAACTCAAGCAAGTTTCAGGCATTCTCATTCTGGTTTCTTTTCTCCCTATATCTCCCTTCTTTGAATTCCAAATTTTTCTTTTTCTTTTATATCAATCCCAATGAACAACAAATGTTCATCTTATTGATCTTTCTACTTTTTGTAGCCTTTTCTGACAAAGTGTAGGCGAATAATGGGGTCATGGGTAATTTACCTCTCCCTCGCTTCCACAATGTGTGATCATTCCTTTGAATTAGAATAGTGGGGTCATGGATAATGTACCTCTCCCTCAACCTCTCAGGAAATCATCTCAATATTTTATTTTTCTCTTTTTGGGCTGCCAAAGGAAGGAGAGAAGGAAACCAAAATTATTAAGACTTTTACCTTCCAGACTTGCAGGAGGATTTCGATCCCTTGTATACCAAGCCCCAAGACAAGCAATAGATGTCAGGTTAGGTTGGAAATCAGCTTTGTTCTTCCAAACAATCATGAAAAGTGTTGTCATAGGTGACCGGTGATCCACTTTAGCATCTATAGTACTTTCTGAAATCAATAATTCTAACAATGGTGCTAAAGAATGGTTAGATAAAAAGTAAAAATTTTGAAATATTTTTGTCCCCTTCTTGACTCAATAAAACCAATTTTGAAAACATTTAATGAGATCAAAAGATAAAGTAGCATCAGTAATCTCTACTCCCCCAGACTTAAATCATACACTGTCCTCAGTGTATAACCAGTCGGAGTTAGGGCATAAATAAATAATGTATAACTGATATCAAAAATTGTGAACGATATACCTGACCGGAATTCGTATCAATCGATAGAGGTAGTGATCGTATAGCATCTGATCTGAAACTAATAGTGGGTTGCCTCCCACTCAGCGCTTAGTTAAATTTATTCATCTTGACTATTGAGGTATGGTGGCTAGTGAGGTGAGTTGCAGGTACTTGTTGGGAAACAAGTATCCTCCTTGTCTTTTGATTCTTCAAACCATGAAGTTAAGAAGCTTCTTGTGGCTTTCTCGCTTCTGGTCATACTAGATTTCAACCCTTAGACCTCATCTTGGATTCTTTTTAGCCACTCCTCAATGCTCGCAATGCGGAACTCATGATGTCCAATCTTGCTGTAGGTTTGTTCTAGATCAATACACAGCTGCATGGTGTCGAGGTATTGGATGGTTTGCACACGGGAACGGGTAGTATTGCCTGATCTTGGTGTAGTTCTGTCGGTCGATGTGGAAGGATGTCTATCGGTTGATGGGCTGAAAGGCGCGTCGATCGATGCGGATGGTGCAGGTCGGTTCGCGAGCTGTCTCTGAATGTTTTCGATCTCCTTCTGAATTCCTTCTGTTGTGAATTCCAATCCTTGAACGTCACTCTGTACTGGAAACCACATCTTGTCGAGTAATCTGTATGCTTCGTCTCCATAGGCTTCAATAGCTTTGTAGATATCTCTTGTGATGTCCTCAATTTCTTTTCTGGTACAGAAGTCTGGTGCTCTAATATCGGTCGATGTGATGGGTGGGTCATCGATCGATAGCCGTTTTTGAGATGTCAGTTCTTCGCAAAGCGCATTCACTTCTTCTTGCAGGGCTTTCTTCTCTTTGGAAACTAATTCATGGGCTGTCTGAAGCCAATTCAACTCCCCTTGAAGTGATGTTGTGGTTCTTTCATGTTCAGACTTCAGTGATGCCATTTCCTAGTTATGTTCACCAACTCTTCCGTTGATCATGTACGTGACCTCTGCTTGTGTGTAGAGGTTGCAAACTGGAACTCCTTTAGCAAACTGTTCAGCGTGTTCTGGTAAACAGAAACAAGAGCACTCCATCAGTGAGGGTCTATTCAGCAATTTCCCCATATCTTCTTTGGAAACATGTATGATATCTCCATCTACTCCTATTGCAAAACCATTCTCATCTCTGTAAACACCATATTCGTCTTTCTTTTCCCATAAGAATTGACGAATCCCGAATTTGAAAGCTAGTTTCCCAAATTCCCGATGGATATCGTTTGATGTGAATTTCCACTTATCGATCGATGCTTGTTGAAATTATGGATATGCTGAGTTGGTCATCTGAAGAATGTCTGCAACATCTTCTTTGGAGATTGGAATGATTCTTCCATCCATTGCTCGTGCATGGCCATCTGGGTCTCTGAAAATACCAAATTCATCCGAAATTAGTAAGGTAAAATCGAAGTTATGTGTTTGTACCTCGGATGGTGTAGTGGTATGATCGGTCGATAGTTCGGTATGTGCATTGGTCAATTGGTTGAGGGACGTGTCGATCAATTGATATTGTTCCGTGTCGGTCCATACGTCTGCTTCTGGTTCGGTCGCATGTGTCAGTGGTGCTGTATCCACCGCGAAACTTTCGTGGTAGTTGGTTGCCCAACTTCCAGTTGAGTAGTCTCCATCTTGTGTATCATCATCACGTGGAACGGAGAATTGTACACCATAGGGGTTGTCGCTCGGTGGTTCAAAACGTCTTTTGAGCGATCTTGGTTGGTGCATATCGGTCGATGGAGTGTGGTCTTTGTCGATCGATGCTCTGAAGATGAAGGACGGTAGAGGAGGTTTTTCTTCATCTTCCCGAAGAAATTTGTACTCTGTGGCTCACTCCTCTTCATAATCTTCAT